GTATATGGAAAAATAAAAATCAAGTTTAAGTCATTTTATTCGACTTTACGTCTGTCCGCCACAAATATTGAAGTCGTAATATCACTAGATAAACGTTTAAAGCACATAAAATCATATTAAAATATATACAAGTATGTACTGTATTTACAGTACACGCATTCGTAAATTTAGATTACTTTTTTTGTACTATATTAAAAACTAAAATTTATTTGTTTGTAAGCTTAAAATAGATTTTTATTAACCATATATTATTTAAAATGCTTTCCTAGTGATAAGTAGATTCGGAGACAGGTAAATTCGACTTACGTCGTTTTTCGACTTACGTCGTTTTCCTGGAACCAATTACCGACGTAAGGCGAGGTATACCTGTATTTCTTATTCTTGACTTAACGTATGTGCATACTTATATATTACTTAATATACCCATATATTATGTACAACATTTTTATTAAACTAATTTGTTTGTGTACGAATGTATTTACTGTTTTTATTTATATATGCTTACCAAATACCATTGTCATCATCAAACAAGTCAATAAATATGAATTTATATATTAAATAGACGTTTCAAATTTTAATGTTTGATTAATTTTTAAACTGTTTTTATTTATATATGCTTACCAAATACCATTGTCATCATCAAACAAATCAATAAATATGAATTTATATATTAAATAGACGTTTCAAATTTTAATGTTTGATTAATTTTTAAAATCGTTTTATTTTGTATTTTTTAAAAAACTAATCAGAATCGTCGTATAACAAAGGAAAAGAAAAGAATGACGAGTTGATTAGTCAAAAAATGATTTCCCCAGATTTTTACTCTTTTGGACTCCGGAAACCTTGAAACGTAGAGAAGTGCAAAAGCATTCTGGGTTTTTTTCTCTATGCACGGATGTTAGAATGTGTGTGGGGACACAATTCAGTCTAAGTCGCTGGAGAATAGGACAACGTCATCTTGAAAGACAAAGCACGAATGTCCTATGAAACGAGCTAAGACGCAATTCATTATACCCTGGAAGTAACGACCACTGATTTTTCCGCCCTGGGGCATGCGACATAGTTGATATTTCCCCCAGGGCGTGGAGAAAGTAAAGACCTCCCTTTTCTCCTTCTTGATGGGGATCTGAAAGTACCCCAAGCTCAAATCAAGGACTGAGAACACCCTACTTCCTCTGAATTGTGTCAGAATATCATCAACCCCCATCATAGGGAAGTCCTAACTAATGATTACGTCATTTATCCGTCGTAGGTCCAACGTAAATCTAATGTCTACATCGTCTTTGTTTACGATAAATATGGGCGAGTTCCAAGGAGAATTACTCTCTTCTATGATTCCAGCCTCCAGGTAGGAGTTTTCCTCTTTCAACTTGGGAAGCATAATGTGGGGTATTCTATAGTACCGGGTGTTTATCGGTCTAAACTCGGAAAGCTCGATATCATGGCAAAATTTCGAGGTTCTGTTACGTTTTCAAGCTTTGAAGCGAAGCAAGAAAAGAAGGTATGTATCAAGTTAAACATTTTACTTTGGTGGGATGGAGGGATATGATCCACCTTTATTCCCTTAGGAATTGTACTAGTGGCATGACTCATCATTGTGAGCGTACACTCGGTACTTTTGTCTTCCTGTACCTGTTATAATCAACGAACGTATTTGTTTTGACACTCCCAAACTTCTGTTTTATGACCTTGCCACCACATGAGAACTTCATACAAATTGCAGGTTCACAAGTTACAGGCTGTCCACTTATCCCCTTCACCTATAGAGTTTCATTGACTATCTCGCAATTATCTCCATCTAGTAACATCCTTACTGTGTCAAGATTCATTAACGACCTTTCTGACCCTGTATCGATGAGAAACCTGACCACCTTTGTCCCAATTGCTCCTCCGCATACTGGTAAACCATTCGTGTTTCGTCTTATGTTCAGGGCCAGCTTACAAACATGGTTGAGCTTGCCACTATTGCAAGCCCTTGTTAGTTTAACTGCTGTTTTGTTTTTGTCCGGCAGTTACGTGCAATATTACCCGGGTGACCCGGGTAACACACATATTCTGCTGCTTCTCGGCTCTGGTCTTTTCTGTTAATGGTTGTTATTCGACTCATGTTTGCCGAAAGTTCTTCCACCCGTCTTACAAGCCTCTCTGCAGTTTCTCTCAAATTGCCTTTCTTGTGTTCACCTGCTGCCTTATTGTTGGCGACATCCTCCTCAGTTTTCGCGGTGGTTTCTGCCATATTAACGAACATGTGCTCTCTTTACGAGAAAAAAACCTTTGCTCAACTTCATTAGCCTTCTCTGCCAGTTCAGCTGCTTCAACAAATGATACGGATTGATGGTTCGGTACTTCACGACGTAAACGAATATCTAGCCCTCTAATAAATTGATCCAGAAGTAATTGTCCTTTGTTAGGTTCAAGATATGGATTAGCCTCGATCACTTGGTCAACCGCTTCTTATAGGTCAGGGGTCGGCAACATTTTGAGTCGGAAAGAGCCAAAAATTACAATTTACAAAATTTCAAAGTTTTTAGAGCCACAAAATGTTTTCTTGCCAACAATAAATAGTACTCGCAAAAATAAAGTTTTTTGATAAAAAAAAAACCTAATCTATTTATTCATATATAAGTAGTGTTTTTCACAACAAATTAGATAATATATATATGGCATTATTAGATAATTACTTATTATTTAAGTAAATTATTACTACAATTAAACATTTACTTACAACATTAACTTGTACTTCAATAACAAACAATTGAGCAAACAAATTCAATGGAAGCGTTGGCTTTGCATGGTTTTAGAAAGTTTGGATAAATTTGGCTCATAACTTGTTGTTTTAAGTTTCAAACACGACTCTAAATTTTCATTTTTTAGTTGGCTTCTTACTTTACTTTTAATTATATTCATGCAAGAGAACGCTTGCTCGCATGAATATGTCGATCCGAAGATAGTCAGCACTCCAAATGCCAACTTCTCTTCTCTTTTTTTTTTTTTGTAGATGCCATGCTTGGGGTGAAGCTGTAATAAAGAATTTTTGGATCAATGGTATTATCTCCCCCCAGAAAATATCAATGCTATTATTTCCCCCCAGGATAAAATGTCAAAAATATAAAGATAAAAATTATATAAATAAGTTTAAGAAGTTTTATTAGTCAATTAATGTTTCAATACACTCACATATTTTAAAAAACTCGTTTCCTACGAAGTGCTCTTTCTACATAAACTCAGCTAAATAAGGTCATTTTAAGGGGTCATAATTATTTTTTAGAAAATATCAATGGTATTATTTAGGTATCCAAAATAACAGATGACAGGTTTTGCAATTATTTACTATGTCAACGTATACCTAAGTAAATACATACGTGAAGCTAGGCATAATGAAATATAATTTGTCAAAAAACATTTTACAACGATATTTCCCAATTAAAAATACTTACCTAAATAAAATAAATAATTTAGACACGAAACATTGTTTGTCTCACTCTCTCACGTACTGATTGACTATAAGTACATAGTTTTGTCATGATAAACACGTTCTGACAAGTCTGTGTTTATCACGACGAAGTCTGCACATTTTAGTTTTTTTTCAATTTTGGCAAATATTAGATACTTAGTTTACGAGTAAAGGTGTTATGCCCAGCTATGCTGAAATCAATGAAAATTGCCAAACATATAAACAATCTAAAACTGCAAATATCTACCTACTTTGATCCTCGGAGTTCGAAAATAGGTTTATTAAATAACAATTTATAGGTACTTACACTTATAATTATTATTTTAACGCTAATTTTTAAATAATAAAAGCTATAAAATAGATAAATAATAAAATAGGTAATTTATTGAATATATATTTTAATAAAAACACTTTCGCGGTAATATCCAACAGTAGTACTTAGTTTCTTTTTTGACAATTCTTATTGACTTCAAAAAAGTAGTTAGGTATCTTATTTGGAAAAAATATGTATAGTATGTATTTTAAAAATATAATAATTATTATGTTACCTATCTTTACTTCGTTTTTTTATTATATATTTTCGTATTCTTTCGTACTTTCGTATTATTATATATATGTACTGTACATACATAATTTTGAGAAGATAATTCGCTTCTAACTCTTTTACTCGAAACAACAAACTATACGTCACAGCCAAAGCACTGGTGAAGACGCCAAATTGTCTTGCGTCGAAAGCGAATTAAACCTCATAGAAACATCCGACGACGACGTCATTCGAGAGCTTCCGACGGACTGACGACAGTGACGACGCGTGTCACGGGGGAGGGGTGCGGTGAAAAGCGAGTACAAGTGGCTGAGAGATAGAATCGGTGTCTAATCCTCGTTAATCGATTCAGAACGATTTTTAAATGGTTTTTTTTTTATAAAATAAATTATATTTGCGTATGGAACTAAAGAGCCGCAGCTTCACATCCAAAGAGATGCATGTGGCTCGCGAGCCACAGGTTGCCGACCCCTGGTATAGGCGAACGCGTAACTCCCATAGATCTCCTTCGTTGCCTAATACCTGTATATTGTCTTAAAGTCTCTCCACCATCCCTTTACACATTGTCGAAATTTTCTAATGATTCTTTCCTTTATTTTATCATAGTCTTTTCCATACATAGCCCGGGTCTCATTAGGAAAAGTTAGGGGTTTCAACCTAGCACTGGCTATTGTAAGGTAATCCGATTTTCTCCATGCGGCTAGTTTAACAACGCTCTCAAATTGTAAAAAAAATTTTCTAATTGAAATCATGTCTTATGGGGTTCCTGTGAATGTGAATTAATGGTGGACACATCGCCGACTGTTCTGCTGAACTAACCTGGGTTTCGGGTTCCATTTTCGTTGAATGCGTTTTCACAACTTGAACAATTTTAACTTGGCGTGAAAATGGAGTCTTGAGAGCAAATCCTGTCGCGGACGCCAATTATATAGTGAAGTACTCGATCTTTAGAGTATTCCCCATGCAGGAACAAACAAAAAGAAACTTCGAAGAAATAAATCACACGCTCTATGATTTCAATGCAAGGAATTTAAAGTTTATTTTAGTCCTTCCGATCACTTCCCTGTCCTTTCCAAGTGACAGAAATATTTATTAAACCAGAATAGTAGCATTACAGCTATTGGCAGCGCAAGGACCAGTATACCTATCGACTCAGGTGATCAGTGCTGTCGTTTCTAGGGTAATTTCAACCTCTCACGGTAATGTTTAAAGTAGTCTTATATTTAGGGTAAATCTAAGGTAAAACTGTCCTGTGATCTGATGCTATTCCCCATCACACCACAAGTTTCGCCGGAAAAAGTTTTACCCTAAAACCGTTCTGTGACTGTAACCGTCCTTATAACTGGAGGGTTTTAGAATAGGACCACAGAAGCTAAAAAAATAATGTCGATTGGTGCTAGGTACACAGGTGTACTGTACACTGTATATTACACTCGAGTAGGATTTCGCTTTTCTCTACTTTCAAGCCATTGGGTCATTGGAACACTACAGTACAGGTACAACTTTTCAGTTCATCTCACTTTGTGGCAGACACCATGTATGACACGAACTTTGTCTACACCACCAGGAGCCAACCACTCCATGTCGTCCGATTTTAGTTTAGCATTATACAACACTGGCATTGCCGGTATTAAGAAAATATTGTTTTATTTGAACCTTCAAACGAATATTAAAACTCAAATATATATGTAAATAAATGAATTTTTAAAACTGATCATTTACGTGATCATTTAAAATATGTTTGAAGTCAAGTGAATGGCTTATTTAATTTTCTATCTTCAGCTAAGATACACAATACATGTTGAAAGTGAATTAATTAAAATTAAGTTACATAATTGTATTCCTTAGACTTATGTACAGTACAGTATATAAAGAGGCTGCGTCTTACTTTCCAGAGAAATTCAAAGCTATGATAGATGGTGGCGGCTATACCAGCCAAACCATATTCAACGTAGATGAGACTGGCCTGTTCTGGAAGAAGATGCCTAAAAGAACTTTTATCGCGCGTGAAGAGAAAACCTTTCCAGGTTTTAAGGCCGCCAAAGATCGATTGACGGTGATGGTTGGCGCGAATGCAGCTGGTGATTGTAAGTTAAAACCTCTCTTAGTTTATCGCTCGGAAAATCCAAGAGCATTGAAAAATAAATCTAAAGCTGGCTTGCCTGTGATTTGGAAGTCGAATCGTAAGGCTTGGGTGACAGCTTCCCTTTTTGAGGACTGGTTTGGTCATCACTTCATACCTGAAGTCGAACGTTATTGCCAATCTAAACAAATTCCATTTAAAGTGATGCTAATAATCGACAACGCACCAGGTCATCCCCCTGCAACTTTAACTAATTTTGACCCACGTGTGAAAGTTGTATTTTTGCCACCAAATACAACCAGCTTGCTTCAACCGATGGATCAGGGAGTCATCAAAACATTCAAAGCTTATTACACGAGACGATCGTTTGTATATCTGCATGAAGCTATGAGACAAAACAACGAGCTCTCTGTTAAAGACTTTTGGAAACAATTCAATGTTTTAGATGCAGTGAGAATCATTGGACAATCTTGGAATGAAGTTTCACAAAAAACTTTAAATGGCGTCTGGAAAAAACTGTGTCCTTTTTTTTCACCACTGAAACTCAGGCGGAATCAGTGCCAGAGCCTGATGAAATTGGTAATGTGATTGAAGAAGTTGTCGATCTTGCCAGGCAAATAAATTTAGAAGTGGATAGTGATGACGTTCGAGAACTGCTGGATTCCCACAATCAGGAACTGACAATTGATGAGCTCATAGAAATGTGTGAGCAAGAGCAAAACATTGAAGAACTTGATTCTTTAGATCCAGTTCAATCAGAAGATCGAATGACGGTTGGAAAATTGACAGAAGGCCTCAGTTTTATTGAAAAGGGGTTACAAAGTTTAGAAAATATAGACTCCAACGAAGAGCGCATTTCTTTTACAAAACGAGAAATATAAAAATTATTAGCGTACTACGAGGAAATTTTACGGGAGAAAAAAAATCTTTGAGCCGTCGGACGAATTTGGTAGATTTTATGAAGCCTTCTACATCAAAATAACTTAGGTTTACGATTTTAATAATATAATTTGTTATACGTATGTATTATCTAAGATTTTATTAAACATTTTTTTTCTAAATTATTGTTTTCTTTAGTCTCCGGTCCCAATTAAAAATAATTTGTATGTATTTATATGCAAAATTATACCCCGACTTACGCGGTTATCGCTCGGTCCCACCTATCGCGTAAGTCAGGGGTATGACTGTAATTGGAATCGAAGCATATACAAAAGGTCAGCTTTTTCTGAAAGGCTGCAGTAAATGTTAAAAAGTATTATTATACACCAAAAAGTATTTTAAAAATTTTCAAATTAAATTTTATCGTTTAGGCCAGTGTTTCTCAACTGGAGGCATGTCCCTAGGAACCCTAGAGGTCACAGAACATTTAAAGGATTTAAAAATCAACTTTTGGGGCAAAAGCAAACTGGGCCATATTCAGAATAAAATATTAAAATTATATGAAAACGAATAAATTCAACAAGTAAATTATTAAAATATATTTAAATAAATTTATTGAATACAGGCACAGATTTTACAAATACAGTAGAACCTCTATTATCCGGACTAATTGGGGATGAAGGTAGTCCGGATAAGGAAAAATCCGGATAATCGAAACAAATACTTTAATTTGTCTTTTAATGATAATACAACACGTTTTATTTTTGATGACATATTGGTAATATTAAAAGTAAATACTGTATTTAAATCGTGAGCAAATTTTGAAGAAACAAACGTTCGTATTGAATTTGAACTACTACTGACCAACACTAACAGACTACCTATTGTTTAAAAGGCCCTCTGGTGGCGCAAGAAGACGGATTTTATAAAATAAAAAGCAGTTGAAACTGCATTTTTATGAATAAAAATTTGACAAACTATTTATCGTTTTATGACGAGTAAAATTTTTTCGTCGCGTTCGCGGCTTTTAAGTAATGCATAAACCTTCGAAGCGCGAGGCCCTTCGGACCACGAGGCATAAGCGATGGTCCACGTCGTCCATGCCTTACGCCGCCCTTGGTCATAGAAATGATGTAATTTGAAAATAAAATTATTTATAAATACGTATGTCAAGTTATATTTTTATTACGACGCAAAATATATTTAAGAGTTTACGACCACTGTGCTGGGTGAGACGTTGTTGAAACCAGAAAAGTTATGCATTTCATCACGTACATAAACAGTGTCGTAATTCGCCAAGTGCAAATCTGCAAATTCGTAAAATTTTTGTTTATTTTGAACAATCCGGATAATAGAGGTCCGGATAATCGAGGTTCTACTGTACGTGAGCCGTTCACAGCCCGGCACACGTATTTGTAAAATCTAAGTGACTCGTACAAAATGGAATTCATATAATATGGAATTATCAAGTGTTATAGGGGGTCGACTGTATGTCACTGTTTTTGTAAATGTAAGAGAAAATGAAATTTTAAAACAAAAACTTGAAATTTTGTCCCTAAAATATATTTACAGGCTTACTTATACTGTATTTACAAATTACAAGTGCAAACTTGGTTTTAATTGAATAAGATTTACCGTATATTCTGGCGTATAAGACGACTTTTTAACCCAGGAAAATTTTCTCAAAAGTCGGGGTTCGACTTATAGGGCGAGTATATCCCAAACTCTATATTTTAACTGTAAAAGTGGGGGGTCGTCTTATACGCCGGAATATACGGTATTTCTAAGGCAAAACCAAGTAACTTTGCATGCTGAAGTGCAAACAAAATGGGAAAAAATGTACCTTAACAGAGAGGCAAATATCAGCTCTTCATAGTCAAGAAATGAATGTCATCTAGAAAATTTTGAAAGCAGCTGAATTATGTGCATAAAATAGTATTAAGTTACCTGAAGTAGAAGAAACATACAATTTAAAAAAATCCTCAGGTAGTCAGTCAATCTAAAATTGCTTTACAACTGAGGGGAGTTGGTGACAAAACAGATTTCAAGTAACAATATGACAATCCAACAATCAGCATTGAGACCAAATGTCAATATCTCAAAATCTTCAATTGGCAGAATTGTAAAATCAAGACCTCATCTGTTTACAAGCTAAAAGTTTCTCCAAAGCTAAATGATCAGCATGAACTATAAAGAGACTTCAGTGGGTCAAAGAAAAAATGCACTAGATTGAAAATTGTAAGAGTATTATGTGGTCTAATGAAAAAAATTTAATCTAGATGATACTGATGGTTGGGCTTGCTATTGGCATGACCTCAGAAAAGAAAAAACATTTTTTTCAAATGACAGCATGGTGGTGAAACATTGATGGTTTAGGAGATATTCTCAGGTGAGAGAAAAACATCAATTGTCTTCATTAATTAATGGCAGCATAAAAGCAGCTGATTATCAACATTTATTAGGACAACATTTAATCCATTTTACTGAAAATCTGAAGAATTTCCACTTTTATTTTCAACAAGATAATGCAGCTGCACACTACAAAAACCACTTTTTAATGGTTTTTAAGTATCAGTTTTAGATTGGCTTGCTTTGTTCTCCAGTCTTAAATCCAACTGAAAAAATATAAGAGTTATCTTGGCAAGATCAGTTTATGCTTCATAATACAGAAGTATTTATCTCTGGTGGACCTGAAAGAAGATATGCTACAGAAATGGAATGAAATTTTAAATGAATTTAGTGTACAGTTGATCAAATCAATGCCAAATCATATTTTTAAAGTAATTAACAAAATATTGGTAATCAACAGTTTGCTTCTGAAATCAAACACAATCTGGACCTCTCTATTTTTTTTTAGAATGGATAAAATCTAAACAGATTAATACTTTATGTAGATTGTACTTCTATGGGTATAGAAAGTTTTACTCTATCTAGATTTATATTCTAGAACAAATTTTTTAGAAAATATTTTCCATGGTTGTGCAACTTCCAAAAATGACTTGTGAGCATACACCTATATGAAATGCAATAATCTCCCACAATAGTTTCTTCATTCCTTCAAATTACAGTTTTATTATCCAAGATGAAGTTCGGCTGAACTGTCCACAATGATGAATATTTTGAATATACAGAGAGCTTGAAGTTACAAAATTGGATCCTTAAATTGGAGAATCATACAGAATTGCCCCAATAATTGCATCTAAGAATCCATTTTAAAATTTCCAGATACAGTATGTCCAAAAAGCTTAGTTTAATTTTAAGGAAATTATATCAATCTGTTGTATTTCACTTTATTTTGTTCCTGATTTCTCTTCCTTAGAGAAGATTCTAATTTCAATTATTCATTTAGCTATAACTTATATACTATTTATTTAGCATGTTTAATTTTTAGAAATTGCTAAATAAAATTCAGCTGGTTACATTTTGAATTATAATATATCAAATAAATACAGTATTTAGTATACATGATCCATTTAATGCAAAATCAATATTTATTTGATGGAAATTTATAAAAAGTTCACATTTGTATATAGAAACAGAACAGTTTAGATTTTAGGAAAAAACTTTTCCAAAAATTTTATTAGGCAAAAAAATTATAATTTAAAAACTTTTAGATCTTAACATTTAATTCCATTAAATACAACATCAAAAAAATTTTCTTAAAACTTGATACCAGAACTACGTAATATGATACGCAGTACATCTGAAGACATGACAATGTTTTTTAGAAAACCATTCAATACTTTGTATTAGTTAAGGCTTGTGAAATACATCCATCACAAGCATGTACATTTATTAATATGGCATATAAATTTTAAAATGTACGTACATACGTCAATAAATTCCAACTGACACAACATTAAAGTTCCTTGATCTATACTTAAAAATAATTACAAATAAAACTCTAATAAAAAATTAATATGTATTTGATATAAGTTTGATGCACAAACAACAGAATTGAATACTACCTTTTGTGAATAGACAGATCTAATGATGTTTTTAACAGAATTTTAAAATAGGAACTAAAAATTATAAGCAGCATTCCTTTTGCTCATTGGCACAAAATAAGTCATTAAATTGCACAGTTAACTAGTGGTAAGCAACACAGCTAAAGCTTAAATTATTTTAAAATAAAACAAATTCTCTTTTGATTATTTTCTTACTACTTCTTCATAAATTTAAAAAAAAAAAATTTGATTATGATATGTATGATTGATTGTATCTTTTTAAATGCTATTTCATTTAATGATAGAGCATGATAAACAATAATAAAGATAGAATGACATTTAAAATATGATTTGTATGATGTTACAGCATACAAATCATATTTTATTCTAAAAAGCATATTTATTCTGCAAAGAATGAACCAAAATTCAGAAAATAAAAACATATTTGTTCTGAGAAAGGATTGTACTATATCACAAATTGTTAGCTATAACATCTTTGTCTTGATACCTTATTAATTTAACTTCAGAAAAGTATTAATGTTAATAAATTAACTGAAACTCTGACTTTGTGAATAAAGAACAATGTCTGCTAGTGTGTTCAATATATAAACTAAATATATAATTCATGTTCTTAGATTGAAATTTTTTGTTAACAAAAATAAGTATCTCAAAGATTTACTGATGTTTAACAAAATCTAACAAAAACTAATTCTTACCAAAGGCAAATATATATTTTAATTTTTTATATCTTGGTTTGTTTTGAGACAGTATACAAGTATTATTTTGGTTATTAATTATTAACAAAATATGATACTGATGGTTGGGCTTGCTATTGGCATGACNACAACAGAAATTATTATTTGACAAATAGTAATATTTACAAACACATTAGATCTATTTATTCCTCAAAAAAAAGATCTTATCTGTTGTATTTAATATATATATATATATATGAAAAGATTTAATAATTAAATGTAAAGAATTTATATATATTTTTTTCTTTAATACAATTGTTAAATAATTATAAGCATTTATACCAATTTATGAAAATATTGTACATATAAAGTTAACTGCCATAAAAGGTGCAATTTGATACATTTGTAGGATAACAATTTGATATAATGCATTGCATCTCATCATTATAGTATGGCATATATAACCCTTGGACAATGATATGTATGTACTTGGCTTCAAATATATTCATAATAGTCATAACATTATCAAAAACTTAAATTCCAGCACAAAAAAAAACTTTTGACAGAATGAGATTAAAATACTTCACATGAAGAGATTTAGAAATATGCATATAAGATTCACTTGTAACATCTATGGGTTATCAATAATAAACTGGACAAATATTTTATATACAGACAAAAAATGCTTCCCACACCTAACGTAATTTGCATAGTAATAATAAGTTAATCACAGCTATTATTATTTGCTTCACTGATTCCTCATTACTGAGAGAAGATATCACCCATTTTATATTGTACATTACCTAGAAGAGTAAAGTTAATGTACTGTACAATTCTAAACAATAACATTTCTTAAACATTGCTTGAAATATTCTTAATTATATATTGATTATCATACTTTTATTTGATAACATTAGATTGATCTGTTCTTTTAAATGCATACTTAATATACAAAAATATAGATTATAATATGCATCAAATGTGTAAAATTTACAATATGACTTTATTACATGATGTGATTTCAAAATGCACCACACGTAGCACCAAAAATTATTCATCGTTTTGACGATCGACTTATGATTCTGTCGAGACATTCCGTCCGCTTCTCCTCAAGGAAACTTCAGATGACGTGTCCTTTGCAAATTTATTCTGTCCAAAATCTACCTTTGATGGAAGTGTTGCCGACAGCGGTCTCTCATTCCCCAATGTCTGTTCTGTATGGGAACCTTCGTCCTTTCTGGATAGATCATTTGAGGCATCCCCTAGCCGTTTCTGCTGTTTTGATATTCTCGCCTTGACTATTCGCAAGTGACGCTGAATATAATCTTCTTGGGGGGCCAAAGAAATGGCTTTCGTAAGGCATCTTTCGGCTTTAACTAAATGTCCTCTTTCCACATACACGACACACAAATTATGTAAGGCCTGAATATTTGATGGTTCAAACTGTAGTATTTTCAAATAGCACTAAAAATGTAATTAGTGAGAAATTAAAATATTTTTTTAATATAAACAAATCAATATATTTATAGCAGCACTATGAGCAAAGAAAACTAAAATGTGAATAATACCTGCTCCACTTTTAATAATGATAACCTTTTACTTATATTTAAAATAGTATCTCAATTGACATTGAGATAACATTTTGAAAAAATGTCAACTTTATAAATATTAGTGTAATTGCTGGTTTGAAATTTTCACCAAGCATTTGCTTACTATAACTGAAGCATCAAACTATATTGCAATATAGTTTATATGTAGAGTTTTCAGAACAATTCCTATAATTTTATTTTAGTTATTTATAAGTTCTTTACTTTTTGTATCAACAATTATGTAAAAAAATTATTATCCTTTAAAAAAAATGATAATTCCAAATTAAGAAATCATCATATGACTATAATATACAATTACTTGCATTAAAAATTCAGATGCATTTTTTACATAATTGTTAAGCTATTAAAAGCTTAATCTATTTGGCTTTTATTTCATATCTGACATATCAATTGTAATTATAACAACGTTTTACAAGAGATATAGAATACAGGTAACCCCCGTATAACATGGTAGTTACGTTCCAAAAAATTGCCGTGTTATGCGAATCCGTGTTATACAAAACAAAGAACTAATACAAAAAGGAGGATTAGGTTCCAAAAATTAAAAAACATGCTAATATATTTTCATAATTAAGATAAATATCTCCATTAAAATTTTTTTAAGTGATACATATTAATATAAATTAAACAATGTTTTCTTCATCATCACTAAAAACACTATTAATTAACCAAGAGCGTTTTCTTTTTGGCAAGTTATCCTTATCCTCTGAGCATTTTTCTGCATTATCTTCAGATCCATGCTTTACATTTTGCAAAATGTATGTAATTTTACATTGCTTGCTTCTAGTTAAAAGATCTTTATAAATTTCCTTATATGGTGCTAAGCACTTATGAAGAATAAACCAAGTATGGAATAAGGGAAAAACATTCGGCAACATCAGAAGCAAAAGCGTCGCGATCTGGCAACATTAAAACAAGTTTCAAGAAGGACCACATGTATCGACAGAAGGCGAGAAGAGAAAATTTACATACTTAAGTACTAATAGTTCACGAAAATGATAATTTTCGTGAACTATTATTACTTAAGTATGTAAAGATTTATTACATTTCATGTTGTACGAGGGTTTTACCCAATTCTCGAACAGTTTCAGAGTGAATCCGTGCTATAGAAGTGCCGTGTTATACGGGGATGGTACCAATTCTCAAACCATGTTAGAGTGAATCCGTGCTATAGAAGTGCCATGTTATACGGGGGTTAACTGTATACAGATAGTTATTAGTGTATCCACTACCTACCTTATAATGAATTGCAATATTTATTTTCAAAAATTACAGTTTAACTTGTGGGAAAAATATTCATTGAAATATATTAACATTGCAAGTAACTTTTCCATAAATTACAAATAAATTTTCAGTTTTCAGCTATTAAAAGTATTCACCTGTACTTTCTTTTAATTACACATTAAAATTTTGATGCTACATAACAAACCTTAAAAGCCTGATATGCAGTTGAAAATGAAACATTAATAATGCTTTGATGGGCATTTATTCAAAAAATGCTAAATAGATCATTTTTGTTATAACATTAGAAGCATTTAATATATCAAAAATATCTTTTTGTTTTCCAGCTATAAAATAGCAAGTTTGCCATTCATCTTAATTTATTAGGTAAACTCAGTAGTGTAGCGTAGTGGGGGCGGCAGGGGCAGCCCGCCCCAAGCGGCACTTTTTAGGGAGCTGCAAAATTTCACAATAAATAATAATATCTTGTAAGAATTTGAACCATTTTATTTCATATTTTCGTGCCATTGATTCAGACCATTGAAATGAGCACGGAATACCATCCAGACAGTCCGGAATCAACTTCGCCGTCTGGGGATGTCGTGCGCAACCTGTTCTTTTTTTTTCTTGTACGATTTATTATATATATATACATACACCTTCAATATCCAATAGAGCTAGGTCACTCCTATCCAAGTCTCCCTAGTCGCTAACTATAACTAATTTAGAACCAGCATGCACTGCAAATTATTCTTTGCATTGCAAAATGACATACGCATGCATCAGGAACTTCTGTTTGAACGAACCTCACCTGCCGTCCGGGTCAGCGATTTTAAAAAAGTGGCAACACTAGCACGGAATTTTTCATTACTTATTCTGTGACAAAACTGAATTTTAGTCTTTTAAATTGAGATACCTAAATAATGGGGGCGAAATTTTCCTCCGCCCCGGGCGGCTGACACCCATGCTATGCCACTGGGTAAACTTCAACATTTGTAAATTAAATCCTAAAGACAGTAGAGATCCATTGCACAATTAGTTCTATATATTAAAAGTAGACATCTTTATTTATTCTTGTACTTATCATATCTTTTCCAAAATTTTTGTTATGAACCTCAAGATTGAAATATATTATGTATTATTTTTAATAACTTCACAATTATTATTCTCCATGTAAAAATTTTTCATTTAAGTCAATGCAAGACTAATTTCATGAAATTATAAAATTAAATACAATAAAAAGGAGTGAATCGATTTTTCTTCAAAAGGAGTGTTGTTAGTTTTTTTACAAATATTTTGGCACCAATAAGTTTAATACAGTAGAGCATCGTTTATCTGAATCAATTGGCGATTGGGGTTGTTCGGATAACTTATTTTTCGGATAACCGATTATGTACGAAAAAATATATTAACCTATCCCGTGTTGAAATTTTTCTCCGTTGCGTGTCGCTTCGCGTTGAATTTTCGTCGATGTTAAGCCTAACGTAAACTTTTTAAAATAATAATCGTGGCTATTGTATCATTAAAAATTATTTCTTTATTTTTTACAAACAAAATAATTATATTGAAAAATATAAAAACAAAAAAAATTTATACTTTAGAAGTTATCTAGTATCAAAAATGTTCGATTCAGCATGACACACAGTCCTCAGAAAAACACCACACAAAAGTAACAGTGCCGCCAGCTAAAACATACACAAAACATAAAAAATATTGGAGTAGCCCAAGATATAGCCAAAGATTGCAGCGCCACAGCACTAGCGAAAATTTAAATTTGCCGACTGGAATTCTTTCGGATAACAGACTTTTGGATAAACGACGCTCTACTGTAGTTAATAAAATATTATGCAACAAAATTATTGAGAAAAAATCATTAAATGAAATAAAAAAGTCAGCAATAATGAGAAGAATAGATAATACATCTGAAGGAATTATCTTTGTGGTCATTATTGCAGAAAATATTTTCATTAATTAAGTAATCTAAACTGAAAATTCTATGTGATGTTTGAAAAACTGAATCTCAAGCAACAGTTAAATGCACAACCTTGAAAATGGGCTTAGTTTCAGCTTAACATTCAATCTCTATCTAGAGAGTGTAATAAAGTATGCATCATTATGCAATATCATGCAATATCATTTTCTCTCCATTTTAATATTGACATATACAATAGAACCCTGATTATCTGAGGTTAAGTAAACCTGTAAGTGAATATACTTTTTTGTGAGAAAATACAGACACTTTGTTGGGAAAAACACCCTACCTTAAAGAGTAAGGTCACTTGCCTTTCATGTTTTGTGATACAAGAGGAGGAAGCCATATTGAGATAGTGATGACAAGCACAAAGACTTACACTTTACAAATTTGAATTGCATTTATTGTAATAAAATAGGCTTACATATTACAATCACTTTAAGACAGTTTGAGAGAAAAAAGTCCAAGCTCTGACTGGTCCTGGGAGATAAGTATTACAAGACATCTAATACCTATCTCCCAGGATCTCACAAAGAATAGCTGCACCTTCTCAAGCACTGTTGAAGGAGAGATGAGGAAGTTGAGTTGTTTTGTCAGCTCTTCCCAAAGATGGTAGCATTTTGTGAATACAGACTGTTGGTTCTACTTGTCCATGGAAACATGGATTTTTATAAAATTTCTCTCCAAAATTTGTATTCTCACTGGTTACAATCTTCTCTCTCCTGATTGCTCCCTGGTCTGTTGCTAGCGACTGAATTCAGATCATGGGAGATAGATACCACCTCCACCCTAATGCTGGGCCAAACTCTCCCTGGAATGTTTAATTATGACTTCCTCAGGATGATAGTCCATAATTGGAAAAAATGTTTTCTCCTTCCTGTTCAGGAAGGATGCAGCTGTGACTAAACAGTTTCACTCTGCAACTCGACATAATAATGTACAATCCGCTCTGTTTTCTTTATATATAACTGGATGGGAGATAGAAAGGAATGTGTTAAGAGAAATAGAATTTGATTGAGTCAAACAATAGGCAGGGAGAAAATGAAAACAAGGAATTTCTCTTTTTTTGCACCATTGAACAAAAAAGAAAGCAAAGAAAGAATGAAAGATATTTTACATCACTATTTTCTAAGAGAAAGGAATAAAAATAATAAGCAAAGGGTTCAGGTCTCATATTTCCTGAATACCATAATTCATAAAAGAAATATTACAAAATGATTTGTTTGTTTTTTTATCATTTAACTTCAATGTGAAACAAACCATTCATACTAAAATTAACTAATTGTTAATCTACAAATTATTGTACATATTATTATGTACATACATATTAATGAATTATTGTACATACAGCCTTACTTTTCTAAAAGTCATTATAAAGGAGAGAAATTATTACAAGCTTTTAATTAGTATTATAGCAACAATCTTTTGGTGCTGGGTGATAGCCGAAACTCCTATAAACACCTTGCTAATTTATTAGCTACAGAATAAACAATGTAAAAAATGTTGCTCTTATATACAATTGAATTCACTAAGGTATAAAATGAGGCTTAAAAGTGAAATACCATATCAATCTTTTATATTCATAATTTTTAATCTAAAATGGCTTTGGCCATCTGTTTTTTCTGAGTTTTTGTTATCCAAGATAACATTGGCCCATGCTACTTCATAATCAGAGTTTTACTGTATATGTAAAATTTTTTACTAAAAGTTAAAATATTGTCTTATATTTTTATACATAAAATGGAATAAAATAATTAAAATTAATTTAAAATTCTTAATAATAATTAAAAAATGTTAGTTGGTTTATCATTAATTTGACATCTAAATGAAGATATCAATAATATTGTAAAATAAATAATGAAAAGTTGAGTTTTTCAAACAATCAATGTTAAATAGAAATGTCTTATTAGCTCATAAATAAGATTAAAAATAATGTTATAAAATAAAATAAACAACATGATACTGAAGAACACTGATGTATCAAAGAAAAGCATTTCTAAAATTCATACCTCTTGAGCTGCATCCAAATCTTTTACATGATTGATATAAATATCACCCAACAAAATTAATCCTTTGACATGATCTGTATGATGCTATAAATGTCAAATATAAAATATTAGAATCAATAATAAAAAGAATTTTCTATAAATTTGATTATGTCATTAATTATTAAATACATAATGTTATATTAAAATAACTGTTGATTTTAATTTATTCAAACAAAATTATTTAACAAAAATATTTGATAGTAATATAAAAATATTCAGAATTTAATAAAGTTCTTAAAAATTGAAATCCTTGTAAATCATTTGTCTACAAAAAAATTCCATTAATGTGATCACTACATCTGTATGTGTACTGTACTTAAATACACAATTGATTCTATAAGCTGTCCTCAAATTTCTACAATCTGTATAGTACATACACTTATAACTAATTAATTAATAAATTCATTCGTGATGATAGTAACAATCACATCATTCTCTATGATTAAAATAACAAATTCAACAAATATGAATTTTCATTCTTCTTGTATTGGAATAAGTATAATTTATGATGACATGATTAATTATATCAAATCTTCTAACCAATATTTTTTTTTCATTCTCTAACTTCAGAACTATAATCATATGTTTTAACTTTAGTCTTTAAATTTTACCAGCAATTTAACCAGCAATTATTTTTCTTGACATAATAATAAAATTATTTTAATACCAAAATACTGGATAAAAATTATTTAATAATACAGAAAAATTCTCTCTCCATTATTAAAAAATTTATCTTTTTATTTTTATTAAACAATTTTAATATTTCTATATCAGCAAAAACTGGTGCATTTGTAATTTGACTAAATGAAAAATACAATATTTGTCAATAAAATCATTAAGTCATAATTATCATACTGAACAATTTCCAGATTTAAAGTTTGTCTAAAGATCCAAGGAAAAAACTGTTTCAAATGAAAATGAAACTCACAACACCTAAAACTGGTGTTCTGTTACACAAGTTCTTTAAGCTAAATTTCAGAGATAACTTATTAACTGAAAATATTTCTACCCAGCTTTCTGAAATTGTAGGTTCAAATTCCACATCAAAGAGATTCTCTCTCTCTCTCTCTCTCTCTGAATAATTTCAAATTATTAAAGTTGATAGAAAAAAAAATATATATATAATTATTAATTGAAAGAACTTTGTCTCTATCAGCAAGAAATTATTATAAATCATTCATTTTCACCTGGCCAACAGATGCAAACAACAACAACAATGTATTTGGAAACTGTTTGGCTAATATTAATTTTTATTATTTCATTTTTGTACATTTAAATATTCTAGTATATAGTTATAATTTAGCAAAAAGTATAAATGTGTTTGAAAATTAGTATTCAAATATTTTTATGCTGAATTTTTTACTTTTCAAATCAAAATAACAATAATAATTTATTTTATATTATTTAAAATAAAAATTCATATATTAAAATCACTTTATTAAATTTATCTGCATAAAAATATCAGTGTAATATAAATTTCAGTAATAAAATGACAAATTTTTATTTCTTTATTGTAATAAATTATGTAAGTCATAAAATTTTTAAAAATTTGATATAACTAGAGTCTAAATTTTGTTTTAACAAATGAATAAAAAAATTACCTTTAATAATTGTCTGAGATAAGGTACAGCTTCTAATGGACGATGAGAGTCTGAAAGCAATAAGGCAAGATTGAAGAGTGCACTACGGAAATCTTCTCTAAGCTGAAATATTAAAAAAATATAACTAAACATTGATAATTATTATTTGAAAAATTCTGCAGTTTGTTTACACTAATTTTGGATTTGAATAAATCTGATTAAAATTAAAATTTTCTATTAAAAATAAACCAATATTAGAATTTTATTAATAGAGAAAAATTATTCTTATTAAGTACATTCATTTTTATATTTTTCTATTAGATCTGATTTGTACTACATCATTTGTTAGTCATAAATTCATCAAATGAATCATTCAACATTGTTCGTATGAACAGAAATATTAATCTAGAAATATTGCATATCATTTATATCAAAACAAAATAATTTGTTTAAACAAAAAACTAGATACAAATGTCAAATTATTGGGTTGGCTAAAAAGTCCATTTGATTTTTAAATAAAAACAAAAGACATTTTTCATTTTTGCCAATAACTTTATTGAAGAATGTATACACTTGTATGTATCCTTCCATTTTTAAATTTCATATTTCTCTCCAAGAAAGCCAACACATGCCCATGCCTTCCAATTCAAATGATCCTTATCAATATAAGTTAGTGGCATTCCGTGCATTCATCAGAAGTGTCTTTTATATTGTGATAATGTAATTAAACAGAATGAAGAAGCTATACAGAACTAAACAAATAGCTACAACACTAGGATATGGAACTAACACCATAAAAGGTCTGATTAGAAAGTTTGAAGATAACAAACTTAGGACAAAAAAACAGCAAATATAGTGGAACCATAAAATTCACCTTTAACAGAGACACAACTAACATTATGAAAGAAATTGCAGAACGTAAAGGGTCTAATATGGTTGTAAAAAAAAGCCCGAACTATATATCAAATTTTAAGAAACAATAACAATAGATTAGAAACAGAAGAAGTAGCAGGTGTGTACAGTTGGAGATAAACAAGGATTACATTGGTATCACCATCAGGAACTTGAAAATTAGACTTAAAGAACATCAATATAATGTAAGAAGGGAATGCAATAACACAGTACTCTCCAAGATGGCACAGAGTGAAGACTCAGTAATAAAATAGGAAGAGACAAACATCATTAAGTCAACACACTCCCCTACATTGGCACAGAATGCTGAAAAAAGTGAAATATACAAAAGTTTGTTGAAGGATAAGTGCATTTATGCAAGAGATGCTGACAGCTTAGCAATCACATGGAAATACATTGTACAGAATAAGTTTGTTAGGTCATTATTGCCTCATTTCTACTATATTTTTTGTATATTTTTGAGTTATTAATTTTACATTTTACTGTTATTCATTATTTATATTAATTTTTAGTTTTTTGGCTTTATATTCAAATATTTAAACGTAGTTATTTTTTTTTGTGTTCTATTTTTTAACGATATTTAACAGTAAAAAATGTTCCAAGAAAGATCATTAGCCTGAAGATGACCTACTGGACTAGGTTGAAAACATTTGGTAAATAAAAGCAAATCCCAGCAGCCTAAAAAGATGTTTGTTGATTTATTTTACTTTTATAGTTTTTATTTTTATACAATTTGCACACTATAAATATAAAACACTTTTCTTCTTTTTTTTTGTATGAATCAAAACATATTTTTGTTTCATTTTGATAATTTTTCTCATTGGCAGGCTGTAGAAAATGGCTTCTAATTTTTATACCATTGCTTTTGCTCCACAAGGAATTTCATAAGAAAAATAATCAATACATGCCTTAATAGTTAGAATTACCTGAGTATTCAAGGATTAATCTAACCATCTACCATCTGAGAAAATATGAATCTCTATATCAATCCTGCATAAAACAAGGGCCTACTGTATTGTATTTTTGTTACTATAATCTTAAGTTTAGATTCTTAAATAATTCATATATTTTTAACAAAAATATTTCAACAAATCTAAAATACCAACCTCAATAGCCTTCTTAAACCAAGTTTCTGCAATTTTCATCTGTTTGTCATCCATTGCAAGCATACCAAGATTGAAGTAAATTCTTTCATTTGCTTTTCCTTTTTGTAATAACAAATATAATCTGTAAAGAAAAAGTTACAACAGTTAAGTTCAATGTTTAATTTCTCTACTATGTAATTTAACATGTAAACAGTTACAACCCAAGTTCAAAACTATATAGTTATTATGAACTTGAATTTCAAACATGCAATTGTATTCACTTTCAGGAAGATTCAATCCATTTTATCACATGAAAAAAAAAAATACACATAGACACTAAATTTTAATGACAATTTTTCAATTTAATTGGTTAATAATTTGAGATAGTGAAACAATATAAAATTTGACAAATTATTTTTAAAATATTCAGATATATAGGGTGTGTCTTTTGAAGCACAATTTTTGCTTTTCCTCACTTAAAAAATTACATGAAATGAGCATAATATAGTTTTTTAGTACATTAGAACCTCAATTATCCAGACTAATTGAAGATGAAGGTAGTCCGGATAAGGGAAAAATTCGGATAATTGAAACAAATACTTTAATTTCTTTTAATGATAATACAACACGTTTTCTTTTCGATGACATATCGGTAATATTAAAAGTAAATACTGTATTTAAACCATAATCAAATTTTCAAGAAACAAACGTTCGTATTTAATTTGGACTACTACTGACCAACGCTAACAGACTACCTATTGTTTAAAAGGCCCTCTGGTGGCACAAGAAGACGGATTTTATAAAATAAAAAGCAGTTGAAACTGCATTTTTATGAATAAAAGTTTGACAAACTATTTATCGTTTTATGACAAGTAAAATTTTTTCGTCGCATTTGTGGCTTTTAAGTAATGTATAAACCTTCGAAACGCGAGGCCCTTTGGACCATGAGGCACAGGCGGTGGCCCACGTTGCCCATGCCTTATGCTGCCCTTGGTCATAGAAATGATGTAATTTGAAAATAAATTATTCATAAATACGTATGCCAAGTTATATTTTTATTACGACGCAAAATATATTTAAGACTTTACGGCCACTGTGTGGGGTGAGACGTTGTTCAAACAAAAAAAGTTATGCATTCCATCACGTACATAAACAGTATCGTAATTTGCCAAGAGCAAATCAGCAAATTCGTAAAATTTTTGTTTATTTTGAACAATCCGGATAATCGAAAATCCAGATAATCGAGGTTCTACTGTATTTGGTATTTATCAATTCTGTCATAGACTTAACAAAATACAGCATTTTTGAATGCTAATATTATACTGATAAAGTTATACTCAATTATAACTAAAGTATTTGAGAGATGATCTTTCATTTACCACATTTTCATGTGAATAAGTCTTGGGTTATCTATGCTTAAAAGTCAATTAGAAAGAAGTGCAAGTTACGTGCAGATTTTCAGTTCAATTACAATTAAAAACTCATATCTATGGAGCAACAACTGCTCCATAGGCATGGGACTTATGGTGGAGTAGGTTATGCAAAAGTTTTATATTTGTTCTACTGATGTTCTGCAGAATATACACCATTGTGGACTATATGTATAAAAATACAGTAATTGAATCATCATCAAATTAAACACTAATAAAAAGAAATTTAATATGTTCTAATTTTATAATAAATTTAAAATTAAAATCTTAAAAGAATTAAATACCATATTGGCCTGAATTTTACTTGATTCTTTCTCAGGTTTCAATGAAAGAGAGAAAAATTGCTCTCAACCTATATTCAAGCTTCAACTTATATTTGAGTCCAATTAAAGTTTCTTTCAATCTTAATTGTCTACAGTACATGTGCAGAGTTAAACTGACATTAAAATTCAGTGTGTCCATTTTTTAGTAATATTAAATATCAGCCAAGTTGTGATCTGTCATGCTGCAGTCACATACTAAGTTTAGGGATTAAGTGTATGGCACATCTGTAAATAATCAATTGTTTTTATCATATTCAACAAAATCAGTCAGTTTTGATAACTTCTACAGAACTATTATTTTGTTAACTTTTTGTTTTATGCCTAAGAGTCTACTAACAGAAAAATCATCAAAAAGTCAAGAAATGGTTGCTGAAAATTATAAATTGTAATTATAAATTTATATATTTGATATGATTGTACGATTTAGACTATAAAAAACATTTTAGACAGTTATAAAAAAAATAAGACAAGCAAAAACAAAACCTTCACATTTTGGTTTCATTTTCAATAATCATAAGACTGCAAGTACACTTTGCAGAACACACTTGAAATATGCAAGAAAGCCTACTTCCCTGGTTTGATGTATATGCTAGATAGCCTACTATCAGATGAATGGGGCATTATCTCAATTTTGCTCTATAATTTTTATTGATATTCACAAAAATGAACCAATAAGTAAATAATGTAAATGTCCAATTCATATCTTTCTTTCTATTAAACACATGCTTTGAGTACAATTTTCTGATCAACTAGGTATGATTTTAATGAAATTTGAAAAAATTACTACAAAAGCAATCAAAAATTCATTTACATCGATTAATTCCTGGCTATTTGTAACTACAAATTCAGTAATAATTTTCATAAATCAATTACATATATAAATAGTAGTAAAAATTTCACATAATCATGTAAAAATAGAATTATGAAAGACAGTTGAAAACAGTTATAAAGGGCTTTAAGAATGTGTTACCAACAACTTGGATATAACTTATTCAAGAAAGCTAAAGATCATGATGAAAATTCTGATGACGATGAAAGGAATGAAATATTGTTTCAATAATTTCCAAATTTTTTAAAAAATGGAAATCACTAATTTTTTGTATGAAAATAAAATAAATATAACCAATCTTTTATAATTAAAGTCCTATTTTTTTCAGAAAAATAGATTCCAAAATTTGAAGTTGACTTATAATTTGAGGTCAACTTATTTTCAGGCCAATGTTATAATTTGAAAAACTGAAAATATTAATTTTACTATACCTGTCATAAGCTATTTTTCTTAAATGAGGATTTCCACTCTCTTGAATCAGAATTGCAGAATTCATCAAGGCTTGCTTTAAAATATCATAAAAGTTAAAAATATTAATATCAAACTTTCATTCAAGAACCAAAAATACAGTAGAGCATCAATTATCCAACTCAATTGGGGACTCAAGTTGGTCGGATAACTGAAAAAATCAGATAACCGAAAAGAATGAAAAAAATACATTATTAGTATAGTATATTAGTATATCCCATGTAATTAGTATATTAGTATATCGNTAATATAAAAACAAAATATCAGTTGCGATTTTATTATACAGTATTATATTTCTCAATAAATCACTTATTAAAAATTCTTGTAATTTATATTTTTCACAAAAAATTATAAGTACAATAATTGAAAATTTAAAAAACAAATATTGAACATGTAATAGAACATCAAAACTCAAAATTACAAAGAGTAAAAATTCTCTGAAAAAAACAAAATAAAGTTAGGACTGTATAAAAATTTTAGAACTTTCTGTTCAGAAATACAGAAATCTTTTTCTTACACATTATGAGGTGAGTTCCAAATTTCATACATTTATGTGAATGACTCAATACAGTAATACCCCAAACTTACGGAATAGGTGGGACCGAGCAATAACCGCGTGCAATAAGATATTGCTGCGGCTCACTCTTCCCACCATGTCATTCATGGGGTAGAGGTTAGCGGCTTCGCCTATCGAGCGAAGGTCTCTGGTTCAAACCTCATTGATACAGGTTCTTTTTTTTGTGGGTACGTTCTCCTAGTCTGAGAACCTATGTAAATACTAACAAATTACCATGTTTCTACCATGTTGCTGTAGTATATAACAGCCAGCTCTCAGGCTGAGAGCAGTCCTTGTTCTCGTACTGCAAGCTGCAGGAGTTGTACATTGTCTGAGTTAATAAATACCTTTGTGTTCCTAATGACTGGTTGCCGTTGGTTCCCGCAACAATATATATATATAATAAGGCCACTGTGTGGGGTGAGACNCTTTTCTGAACATCAGTAGATATAGGCCTATATTATATATAAATAATATATATATATATATATATATATATAATAGTTAAACCACATCACCCATCCCATTCCACTATGTGACAATATAATTATGTGTCATTTCAGTTTTGTGTATGTATGTTTTTTATTGTACAGTAGAGCATTGATTATCCAAATACCGATCAACAGAAATATTGGTTAACCGAAAGTGTTCCAGTCGGCAAATTCAAATTGCCACTAGTGCTGTGGTGCTGCAATATTTGGCTATGTCTTCAGCTACTTCATTATTATTTTTGTTGGTGTGCATGTTTTAGCTGACAGCACTGGTGCAACCATATTGTATCATTAAAAATTAATATATTAAAAAATATAAAAACAAAAACAATTATATTTCGGAAGTTATTCTAGTATCAAAAATGTTTTGATTCAGCACAACACGTCAAGAGGGTATTTACGGATGCACCAGTATTTGAACGAGGCTTTTCCCCCCATCGTGAGTGGTGTGTTTTGCTTCAACTTGTCAGAGAATATAGCCCAAATGGCTGACATCTCCAAATAAACCCAAGAAAAAGAAAGAGTTTTGCTTGTTTTGTGTGGTGTTTTTCTAAGGACTGTTTATTGGGACATGTGTCATGCTGAATCGGAACATTTTTGATACTAGATTAACTTCCAAAATATATATTTTTTGTTTTTATATTTTTCAATATATTTATTTCGTTTGTGCAAAATAAAGAAATTTTTAACAATACAATAACCAAAATTATTATTTAAAAAAAATTTTCATTAGGCTTAGCACTGATGAAAATTTAACACAAAATGACATGCAACAGAGAAAAATTTCAACATAGGATAGGTTAATATATTTTTCATACTTGATCAGTTACCCGAAAAATCAGTTATCCAAACAACCCCTAGTCCCAAATTGCTTTGGATAATCGATGCTCTATTGTATTTGTATTTTAGTTTATTTTTGCTTTCTTATTTTTATTGTGTATATCTTGTCTAGAACTTGTATTCCAAAATACTCAATGGAACCATACATTCAAACTTTTGATTCTAATTTTTGTGGTCTGAAGATGGGATGGAGAAGTCCTGAAAAACACTTTACCAATAAAAAACTGACTTCTATAATTTATTTTTTTTTTTCTTTTCTCCTGATCTTAATTGGAGTCATTGCATACTGAAATTGGAAGCACTCACTGTCTGTACATTTCACATTATTGGTATGAATGTGCAAATTGGTTTGAAATTCATCATAATAGTGATTCTATGCAAACAAAGTGCAACAACATGCCTACAGGTGTTGTTGCACTAGTACACTTATTCGAGAGTATAAAAATTATTCTGTAGATTTTAAAAGATTATCTGTAAGTCCATACTTCACATGCCACAGAAACTAAGGAAAAAACTAGTAATGATTGACATCTCTGTATAGTATGGTGTTTACATTGACAGAACTTAAATTCATTTGTTTTTGGTTTCAGTGTCAGTAATTCTTATGTGTTTCTGACCTGGAATTATCATTTACTAAATGCAAAGCTTTACTAAGCAATAAGTTTCTACATGCAGTCATTTTACAAAACATCAAAATATAGTAACCCCTCATTATATCACACTTGTTGGGAGACAAAGAAAAAGAACAATATAATTGAGTACTAAAAAATTCTGGGCTTATAATAAACAGACAATACATGCTTTGGAATCTCTAGCCTCTATCCTTTTACCAGCAAGTGTTTCTGATATAAAATAAGCTTAGTTTTGCAATACTGAATTTATTTGTGGTTATATCATATTAATTGATGTTTATGTGAACATCAATACCAGGAACATCCATTTAGCATTAATGTTCTTTAACAATGACATTTAGAGACAAATACTGCTAATATAAAAACAAAATATCAGTTGCGATTTTATTATACAGTATTATATTTCTCAATAAATCACTTATTAAAAATTCTTGTAATTTATATTTTTCACAAAAAATTATAAGTACAATAATTGAAAATTTAAAAAACAAATATTGAACATGTAATAGAACATCAAAACTCAAAATTACAAAGAGTAAAAATTCTCTGAAAAAAACAAAATAAAGTTAGGACTGTATAAAAATTTTAGAACTTTCTGTTCAGAAATACAGAAATCTTTTTCTTACACATTATGAGGTGAGTTCCAAATTTCATACATTTATGTGAATGACTCAATACAGTAATACCCCAAACTTACGGAATAGGTGGGACCGAGCAATAACCGCGTGCAATAAGTCAAATTCGCGTAAGTCGGGGTATAATTTCGCAATTTATATAAAATCCAAGTCAGATGTATGTAAGCTAATAAATGTTCTTGTTAATCTTATCTCATCTTTTGATACGTTCATGGTTACAAGAAATCACCACGTAGTGTCTCTCAAGTCTCCGTAGATATAACAAACACAGAAATAAATAATACAAAATAAATTGTAGCTATGTGTCAATTCCACGCGACACGTCCAAACAATAGTGTGGAGGGAGCGAGTAATCAAGAGTTGCATGGCACTCAAACAAAAAACGAATAGACAAGATTTGAAAATCGCATAACTCCGGGTTCGCGTAAGTCAGGGTAGTGTAAGTCAAGGTATTATTGTACTGTCAATTCACATAAAGGTGTGAAATTTTGAATTCACAGAAAATTGTAAATGAGGAGACAGTCTTAAAGCCAATAAATAAACAACTTTTAATATCAAAAGGAAACATAAATGAAAATTGATCTGTTCACCTGTTTTGCTTATGAATTTATCTTGATGAATTTATTGTTTCACCTGCAGTGGCAGTTTCAAAAACAATGGTAAGAATAAAATACCATATTTCATTGCAAAAAGTAATTCAATGGCAATTGATACTTTAAAATTTATTGACTTGAGTGCTTTTAAAATTTGGAAACCAAAGAAAGCATAATATATCCAAATCCACGATATAATGAGGGGCTACTGTATTATACATTGCAAGTCAACAGTGAAAATGATAACCTTTTCATTAAATGTACTTCCTACATCAACTATAGATAAATCTAAGCCATCCAGTTCCAGAGAATAACATGTAAACTGTAAAAAAGTGAAATTCCATCTCCCCCTCTTTAAGGAAAACTGGCTTAATGAGTTAGACTCATCTGTATACCAGAAACTAATACATTGTTAAAGCTAAAAAGTGAATATTTAATAAGCAAATAATATAACTCAAATTAGAAATAAAGTCAACAACTGCTTCAGCATCAACATGATGTTTTATGAATTTAATCAAAATAAAAAATAAAAATAAAAGTATTGTCTTTCCAATAGTAATATATTCCCACTGATTGTGTATAATTACTTCTTTGACTTTTGTAACTATGTAAAGAATTAACTAAATCTTTTTGAATAGATAATGTTTATTAAAATAAAAAAATTACATTTATAATGCTATTTTTTATTCTGTAATTATAACAGAGCAATAATCATCATAATAATTATAAATGTAATTTTAAAATAAAGGGAAAAAAGTAAAAAAACTTACTTCATGTTCAGGATTAATTTCTAAAGCTTTATCAAAATATAATAATGCTTGTGATGCTTTTCCTAGTTCCAAGAAAACTACTCCCAACTATAAACATATAAATAAATATTTATTAATATAAACACATTTAAACATATTTTAAATTGATAACAATTTTATGTATGCTGGTTTTTTCTTTAAGCGAGTTCTTAGATTGAAAATATTGAATTTCAACATTAAATTATAAAAAATAGCTTAGTTTTGCAATCCCATGCTTTGCTTAAAGCTTTAATCTTTCACATTTCAATATACAATAAAATTTGATTTTGTAATGATAAAGAAAAACCACCATTTTTCAAAACTGAGATCATAATCATAATTCTTCTATCATCTAAAAAATATTTTAATAAAGAGAGACAAACAAGCTTTTTCTATCTATTTAAAATTCAAACTGTTATAGGTTGCTCATAGTGTAAGTTATCATTATTGTCTCAAAATGTCATAGATTACCAAAAAATATATAAACAACAGACATCACTATTATCACATATTTATTTATTTTATCAATTCATAGATTCTAACTGTATTTATATTCAAGTTTTCTTACAAAATTTAATGTTTCTTCTTTGCCCAAGAAATAAAAATAGTGACAGTAATTTGCAACATTTATCATCTCTAACTACACAAAAATGCTACACATGAATTAAGTTAAAAGAACTTTAAAAGAAGAGCAATTAATTCAGTCAGATGCACAAATACACTAAACACTGTCTCTATGTGGTTTTTTTTTAACTTAACTGCCAAATCTTTTAATAAAATTGCAAATGTTATAATTTAATAAAAAATAAAACCTCAGTAATAATGATATCTGCATAATAATAGAAATTAATATGTCTCTATGAAAAACTAAAAATATAGATAATGAAAATTAATTTTTCAGTTCAAATAAATAACTATACTGTAGTTATTTTGAAAAAAAATTCTTCTTACATATTATAAATAATAAAATTATAAATCATAATTTGATACATTTTTATTATAAGAAATTATTATTATTTAAGATATATGAATGAAACATGTTATTTGTAACTTGCTTACATTATAATAGATATCTGGATTGGTATTGTCAAACTGCAAAGCTCTTTCATAAACTTCCTGAGCTTCTTGAGTTCTAGAAAAAAAAATAAAATAAAACAGGTCATTATCACAGTATATATTGTCCCTAAATATTGAGTGTCTGAAGGAAAAAAAAATCTAAACTATATTCTAAAAACTCTCTCTCTCTCTCTGAAAAAAAAATATTTTAACTATCACCAAAAGCTGTGAATTTAAATAATTTTCATTATGAATGTAAGAAACTTAATGCAGACTTCTTCTCAAGTCAAAGATGTAGAAAATAATCACTAATTTAAAAAACATATTTCATTTTAGATATTTTTCCTTGTTAAATTTACTTATGCAATAATCTTTACATAACAGAATAGTATACATCTCATATCACCAAAAACAACTAAAATTAATAAATAAATTAATAAATCATTTCATGCATCAAACTATTACAATAATATATAAATATTTAAATTTGGAAATTTTTTACTTGCTAATAATTTTTTTTTTTTTTGCTACTTGACAGCAAGTAACATAATAATACAAAGTGACATGTCCAATATAATATCAACATATTTTATTTATACATTCATTCATAAAACTAGTGTTTTATATACATATAATCTTTCTTACTTAATACTGAATTGTTAACATTAATTTATACTGTACTGACAAAAAAGAGTTTTCTCATGTCATCTTATATTTTAATAAAATTATATAATTTGATAGAGGAGAAAAAATAAGACAACCAGTTTTTTTTCTTTTATTTGTCAAGTTAACTGCTCATGAATGACAAATAGGGTTCTAAAATGTTATAATGTTCAGTAATTCATATAGAAACATGATGCTGATGAAGCAGTGGTAGAATTGTGGCTACACTGGGCATATTGAGGAATCGATTCCTGTCACATTATATATTGATTCTACTTAAGGTTTTACTTATTTATGGTTTAATGTAAATTAAATGAAAAATGAAAAATACAAATACAAATTAACTGTTTACAATGAGTACATGAAATAAAGGCATTTCTATGGCAGTCTTCTAATAAAGATTTTGTGTCAAGAAATGCAAAATTTATGTTGCTAATATTAGAAAAACATATAATGTTCTCTTCTGTTTCATAGTCTAACTTCTGCCATGCGTATATTAACATGTGTTGGGGGGCGCTTCTGTCTGCCGAAGCTGCTGGCGCGTTTTTTTACTCACCTCAAATACAGGTATAGAACGTATCCTGTCAAATAATTTTAAGTTAAACTTTTTTGTTTGTGCTGTGTGCTAACATTATTAGTGTTGGAAAATCTATCAACATAATTAATATGCAACGCACGCCAACTAAAAGAGGAAGACCACCACGTCAAAGGTCAAAATCGGCTAGTGGAAAGGAAACTGCTTCGACCACTAATTCCAGGTTAATTACTGATTACAATTCATACGTCGAAAGAACTTCTCCTGAACCAACCTCTGCAAATGCAGGTTTGAACCCTGAAACTTCACTTCTAAGTTCACAACTATCAGGTGAGCCATTTGATCTTTTATCTTCTTCACCAGGAAAAAATTCATCTGATATATCAAGTATAACACTATGGAATAAAATTTCTGATTTAATTAATGTTTCTAACACGAGAATATTAAATCAAATGACTATTATCAAAGAAGATCTGGACCAGATTCGTAATAGTATTCAAGAAACTAAAGATCAGAATCAAAAAATGAATAGCCAAATAATTAATCTTGAACAACAGATTGCTAATTTGAAAATAGAAAATGAAAGTATGCAATATCGAATGGACAATATGGTTAATGCGCAACATCGCAATAATATAATGTTATATAGATATCCCAGTAAAACTAGTCCTACCAAGCTAGAAGTGTTTAATCTTATTAATGAATCATTAGAATTACATGAAGTTACAATGGATGATATAATAGCGATTATTCCAATAACTAAATCACAGTATCCAACAATTAAATTAATTATTAAAAATACTCAAATAAGAGATTACATATATTCGAGTTTTATAAAAATGAAACAGCAAAACCTGTCGAACGTATGGAAAGAAACTCAAATCTCACAGGACCTTATTAAAAGATCTAGATTAAGACGTAAACAATTAATTCCTTTTTTAAGCGAGTTAAGGAAAGCAGGTAAATATCCAAAACTCCGAGGTGACACTATACTGTTGGGCAATCATTCTTTGACGTATAGCTATGTGTTGGAGGGGCTGGTATACTTGGATTCTTTTACCCCGTTTTCTACTTCCGAGAATACTTCACAATGACATATGATCAATTTAAATACTCCTATGCAAGACTTACGTTCTGTGAAGACTCAACTATTAAGTCCTTTGCCTGCTGTATATAATAATAATGAAAGTTTACACGATATTACGTCCAATCAAAAAATCTCCCATTTTGTAATAATTAATTGGAACTCTCAAGGTCTTAAGCGGAAAATTTTTACTAGTGAATTTATGAATTTGATGAAGAATTCTGACATATTAGCTATAACAGAAACTTGGATGACTTCATCTTCTGAATTACTGATTAAACACAGTGAAAATTATCACATAATTACGCTGCTAGCTCAAAAACCAACAGGACTGGGTCGTCCTTTTGGTGGCCTAGGTTTAATAATTAAAAAAAAAGATGGGAGAAATTATATATACCCAAAAAAGAAATAATTATATTATTGTTCATTGTTCATTTATTGATTAATAAGCTAGAAATAAACAACCTGAAAAATAAAATTCTGGTTATAATACTGGTATATGTTCCTCCCGAGCAACAGCAAATACTATTTGAAGTATTTCGTACATACGAAACTTTGAGAAATATTTTTCCTTATGTTATTATAACTGGAGATTTAAATGCTCGTATTGCACAGTCCATGGATTTGATATATAAAGGTCCGAACGTAAAAATTCAAAACATTCGTAAATCCAAAGATGTTAAACAGAATAAAATGGGTCATGATCTTCTAAAATTAACGACTCAAGCTCAACTATATATTCTTAATGGTAGAATTGAAAAGGACTATCCTTCTGAATTTACTTGCGTAGCCACTTCGGGAAGCTCTACAATAGATTTGTTTATATGTTCAGAATTTTTAGTAGATTTATGCTCGGAAATTCAAGTATTAAATTGTGATTTATCGGACCATTTTCCTGTTAGTTCTTACTTTGGATTGAAAGAATCGTGTCATATTGATTATGTTATACCGAAGTATCAGATAACTGTCTACCAATATCAACGATTCCAAGAACAAATCAGTGATAGAATGAGTTGCTTATTGGATGAGAGATTAACTGAAGAGATCGAAAAATATACTAAGTTTGTAAATATAATAAAAGATTATGTTAAAACACGAAAGAACAGAAATTCGAAATTACTAGGACCAAAAAACCCATGGTATGATTTGGATTGTATGAATTTAAGAATGAAAAAAACTAAAGCATTACACCAGTTTAGAAAATTATCTACATCAACGGCATTCAGACAATATCGTCAAGCCAAAAATTCGTATTTCAATTTATTAAAAGCAAAGAAATCAAATTATTATAAAAAAATTCAACAAAAAATCTTAGAAAATAAAACTAATGAACTTTTATGGACCACGATTAAGAAATTACGATGTTCGAACTATGATCAGTCAATTCAAATAGATTTTCCTAAATGGGCTAGCTTTTTTAACAGATTTACAGAAATTACAGTTTCTCCTATGCCTGATATAAAAATTTCCTATAACGAAATTTTAGATATCCCAATATCTTCTGAAGAACTGGATTTATCAATTCGGAATTTAAAAACGAATAAAGCTCCTGGAATGGATTTAATTACCACTAAATTTATTAAACTTCTTCCGCCAGCGGGTAGGCAAGTTCTTCTTGATCTCTACAACCATTTTTATAATGATTCCATTTACCCAAAATCTTGGAAATTAGCGAAAATTCTTATGATTTATAAAAAGGGAAACCGATCAGAACCTAACAATTACCGCCCTATTGCTTTATTATCTGTAATTAGGAAGTGTTTTACCGCAATACTCACTACTCGTTTTCAAAACTGGATCTCTGAGCAGGATTTAAATTCGAAATTCCAATATGCATTCTCCAAATCAAAAGGTACTGAGTTGTCAATATTCCTATTGACTTTAATTATTCAAATATACCTTCACAAAAAACGTAGAAAAATATTCTCGGCATTCATCGATATATCTAAAGCTTTCGACTCCGTGCATGTTCCTACTTTGATATATAAATTAAAAAAGAAAGGAGCTGGATCTAAATTCTGCAATTCAATTGAAAATTTATTTTTATCATATACAGTTAATATAGTTCATAATAATCACATATTTCCGAATTTAAAAATACATCGTGGAATACTCCAAGGAGAACCTTTATCGCCTCATTTATTTAATTTTTACATAAGAGAGATTGATGATTTATATACAAATGAAAATGAAGGAATTCTTATAAATGGCCGTACTTATCATTATATTTTATATGCAGACGATCTTGTTTTGTTAGCCCCAACTCGGATTATTCTACAACGTAAAATTAATGCACTTAATGATTATTTAAAATCTATTTTTTTATCTATAAATATTGACAAATCAAAAATTCTTATATTTAGAAATAATGTGAAAATATCTAATCAAGAAAAAAAGTTTTATCTAAATAATAAACCGATTGAAGTAGTAAATCAAATAAAATATTTGGGAATATACTTTAACTGGAACGGCCAATTTCAATACCATTTAAATTATCTTACTAGTAAAATTAATCAACTTATAAATAATGTTATTTATTTATCATCTAAGCTAAGGATTTCCAACCTAAAAATTCATTTGAAAATGTTTCATTCATTTATTGCTCCAGTATTTTTTTATGCCAGTCCTGTTTGGGCATTAGACTATTATAAATATTTGGAAAAATTCCATATCATTTTTCTGCGTAAAGTACTTCATATTGAACGCACGGTTCCAGGTTATGCAATTAGATCAGAGACTAATAGATTCCAACTTTTTCCATTTTTTTTGAAACGTTTATTCAAATTTTATCTTCGCATATTAAATACTGATGACGATAATATTAAATTTCTATTTCAATTAATAAGCAACCAAAATGGAAGCCTATCAACTAAAAATGTTTCGTGGTATCAAAAATTCGTTAAAATAATACAATCTTATGGAATTTCTACTTTATTACTCAATTCAACCGAAGACAACTGTAAACACGCATACTCCTTAATGATGAATTCTGCTTTATCTCAATCTGTTATCAAGGATCAAGATTCCATTTTAAATTCGACATATCACTATTGGTATCAAAATATGTTACATTTTCCATCAAGTTCGAATATTATTACAACAAATACTAATTTAAATATTAAGCGCACGCTGATTCAGATACGTCTTAATTACAATTCGTTACTGATTGGCAATGTATATATTGATTTTTCCAAGAAATGCTACTGGTGCAAGTCTGAATTTTTTAATATTTACCATATTCTTATTGAGTGTCCAAAGATTGAAGAAGCGCAATGTAAATTTAAATTAAAAGAAATTTTTGATTTAAGTCAAGAAGAAAATTTCAGAACTAATCTAGAAAAAATTCCGTTATGTAAAATGTATAATATTCATAACTTTTTTGTTCATATTTTAAAAATTTTGAAATATGATGTTGTAAATTGAATGATTAACATGTTATGTTTATCAAAAATTATGTAACCAAATATTTAAAAAAATGTTTAAATAAGTATTAATTATCTTTTTGTACATCTCTAATGCTAACCCCCCTGTAACAAGATTTTTTCTTACTACAATAAAGCATTTGTATATTAAATTATTTCACATCTCAGAACTAATCTAGAAAAAATTCCGTTATGTAAAATGTATAATATTCATAACTTTTTTGTTCATATTTTAAAAATTTTGAAATATGATGTTGTAAATTGAATGATTTAATATGTTATGTTTATCAAAAATTATGTAACCAAATATTTAAAAAATGTTTAAATAAGTATTAATTATCTTTTTGTAAATCTCTAATGCTAACNAAATTCCGTTATGTAAAATGTATAATATTCATAACTTTTTTGTTCATATTTTAAAAATTTTGAAATATGATGTTGTAAATTGAATGATTAACATGTTATGTTTATCAAAAATTATGTAACCAAATATTTAAAAAAATGTTTAAATAAGTATTAATTATCTTTTTGTACATCTCTAATGCTAACCCCCTGTAACAAGATTTTTTTTTTACTACAATAAAGCATTTGTAATATTAACATGTGTTTAAAAACATAAGCACATAATTGGTTATACATAAATGATAAGAGCTTTAAAACAGATTTTGTTATTTAATTTAATAATGGTCACATTATCAACTTTTATTTATAGTTTCATATGATCTTGTTATAATCTTGAGTTGCCTAAAGAAAAACATCTAGAGGCTGTACATACTTTATTGATTTTGTCAGGATGGTGAAAATGCATGCTTTCTTTCCATAAAGCAAATTTTCAGTGTATAATGCATTATTCTATTGTCCAGTCCACAAATCTTGTAAAATAATTATTTTTTCATCAATAATTTTAGAAAGGCAGATATTTATCCAGTTAGCAACATTCCTATTTCTACATAAATTACATTGGAACATTTCAGAACCAGATTTCTCATGAATGGCTGACTTCACAGATAAAAGAAAAAATATGGGTCTTCTTATTTTTTCCCCTCTATCAAATGATATATAGTTTATTAAAATGTAAAACTGATATGAGAGAACCCTCCCTTGTAGGAGACTTCCAATAAACAGTTAAAATACATTAAGTATTTTTATAAGGATTACTAAAAATAAAAATTGAAAAAATTTGACAATAGAATTTAAACTTGCCAAATGGTAATTTGACAATAGTGAATTACAATGCAAACTAAAACTGATGACAAAGCATCCTTCAAATAATGTGTCAAAACGCTGAGATTTACTTTATTTTAACATTTTTATGTTTACATCAATAGTATTAATGATATTTTTAATATTAATAACCGTTAACGCCCAGACCCGAGTTAACTCGGGCATGTTACATAGCGTTACAGAAAATGTGGTCCTTTCGGCCCCCCAATTTTTTTTAATTTTTGGAATGTTTTTAAGTCTCCAAATTTTTTCAAAAATTTTTACCCGCGCAAAAAAATTTTATCGCGATTTTAATCAACCTTTAATGATGCGCGATTAACGCTTAATTGTTTTTTAATGCGATTTTTTAAATCAAATTTAATTAATCGTTCTAAAGTTGTAGTGACCGGATTTGACTTCAGTAAAGTTATTTAAAAATACTTTCTGATGTCAAAAACGACTTCCAATAATTTTTAATTCTTTTAATTAATATATTTTATTATATATAACTTTAATTAAATTGGGGAAGTCGGAAACCGCAATTAAAATTTTAATTTTTTAAAAATATTTAAAAATATACCGCCAGCTAGTATTCACTCTACTTTAAACCCTTGTCCTCCCGAGACATCTATGAGAATGTCCCGGGAAATCCAACACCAGATGTTCTCAAGGTCATCCAGCTGTGTAAACAATGACTCATCAGTGTCAAATTTCGCAGAAAGGCAAGACAAAGGAAGTTAAACTTTGAAGCTTTTTCTTCAAAATTAATGCATTTCTTTCGGTTTTTTTTCAGTTTTAAGTATTTTTTATGTTCAATTAAAAATTCCTTTAAAAACAATGATACGGCAAGTGGTTAAATATTGCTTGTATGTATGCAATTTAGTTATAATGAACAAATAAATGTTTTAATTTGTTTGTATATTACTCTCCATTTTTAGTAAATAAAGTATAGGACTTTTCACAGTTTTTTTTAAATCCACCTTCAGAGTTTAGCATTCTCATTCTTAAATATTGACCAACTAGAAAGAATTCTTGAAATTCTACAACTCATTCAAATTTCAGGAATTCTATTTTTCATATAACTTGATTTAATTTCTTAAAAACATTCAGAAGTGTTTTTAAATTTCATTGCAACACCTCTTATTCTGAACACCCACTTCCATGCTAGCAACAAAGTTTCACATCTTTGATGTGAATAACTTCCCTTTATCAGCTTTTTCCACCATAAACAAATTGTCACCCTTAAACATCCCATATAACTTTTGCTTTACTAATATCTGCAGGATCATCTTCCAACATTGTTAAACTAAGGACTGTATTTTCCTTCTCTTTTGTATGTTCCTTTAACCTCTGCACAATCCTCTTCTTATTGCTCCTACATAACACTCTCATGAAAGTTTGACACTGTGAAGTTCAAAAATTAGAAAAACAAGTATACTTTTTTAGATGTGTTGATTGAAAAAAATGCATATACAAAACATTATAAATGCAATAGTATATGCAAAAGTTTATCTTAAGGAAACATTTAAGCTAATTTACATCCCCCCTTTAGATTCATGTGATCCAAGGCAATACACTAGAGCTAGCTTTAAGACATTAGTGATCATATGATTACTGTCACAGCACAAGAAAAACATGTAAAGGAAAAAATTAAGGTGATTAAAGATTTTGCATTTATTAATGCAGTGTTCTATATGATAAGTTACTAAGATGGTTGAAGAAGTTGAAAAACCCAAACTGAGAATGAAATCTGGAGTATAACAGGTAAATGAGTTTTGACCCACTTAATTAATTAATAAAATAGAAAAAATACCTCTCTTTTGAAAATGACTAAGAAAAGTAGGAAAAAATTGTCATTAGAANCCCAAACTGAGAATGAAATCTGGAGTATAACAGGTAAATGAGTTTTGACCCACTTAATTAATTAATAAAATAGAAAAAATACCTCTCTTTTGAAAATGACTAAGAAAAGTAGGAAAAAATTGTCATTAGAAAAAATAAAATGGTATTTGAGACTCTGAAATAAATAAAAAAAAAAAAAAAAAAAAAAAAAAAAAAAAAAAAAAAAAAAAAAAAAAAAAAAAAAAAAAAAAAAAAAAAAAAAAAAAATAGAAATAAGGAAAAGTATAAGGGTGTATAGCAAATACAGTCAACCCCCTTATAACACGGTAGATATGTTAAGTTTTTTATGAAATTGTTGTTTTAGGTCTCCTAAAACAACAATTGCAATCACAGCCCGACATGTGTGAAGTTTACGGACTATGGCTGTTTGAAAGATTTTTTTCCATAAAATTAATTGATTCCTAGACTAATTCAACTCAACATTTCCAAAACACGTATAATTTTTTGGGAATAATCCATATAAACTATGCTATAAACAAAAAATTGTAGGATTACTTACCGAGTATGCACCGTTCAACGTTGCCATTGCTTAAGCTTGTTTTCGTCGCGGAGCAGTGCACCAAACGGCGGCCGCGATTTCTGATAAGTTATTTTTCTGCGAAAACTTCGTTGAACTTTGGAGACATCATTAATATAAATAATTTTTATGGCTGTTGAATAAGAAATGTTTCTTTCACAATAAATGTATAAAATTAGTACTGTATTAGACTTATGGTACCTAATTTACATACTGTACAGACGATAATAAACTCAACTTATCCGCCTAAACTCTCCGTAGCGTGACGCTGGACGGTGGAAAGTATATATATAATTATAATAAAGTTACAATAAATTAAGTTAATTAATATATAATTATATATACAGTACCTAATTTATATATAATTATATGTACTGTACAGTACCTAATTTATATACAATTTATATATAATACTGTACAGACGATAGTAAACTCAATTTACCCGCCTAAACTCTCTGTAGTGTGGCGCTGGACGGCGGAAAGTAGTTCGGCTGCCCGATGATGTTTTACCGAATTATAGGAGTTTTTTTACCATGTTTGTATGGATACTGTCGCAATTTTTTTGCCATCATATAGGAATCTGAACTATAGGAACCCGTGTTATAGGGGGTCGACTGTACTAGTACTAAAACTCCAGCAACAAGTTGCTCAACTTTTCCGGCAACATTTAAAATTTTGGTGACACCATCTGTTATCATATTTTATTAAACAAACTTGTATTTTTACTTATTATAAAATGGCAAAAAGCTTAATTTTGAGAAAAGGGATGTTTTATAAAAAATTGTAAATTCTAATAACAATGAAGATATGAGACATGACCTCCCTCTACTTCCCCACCCCGTCGACCTTTAACTACCAAAATTTAATAGCATTAATGCCCCCAATACACAAATCTTCCTGCAAAATTTCAGAAATTTTCAACAAAAAGCACAGAAGTTATTTGGCTAAGCCTCAAAGAGGGTGAACAAAATCATGACACACAGAAAACTCACCAGAATTTTTTCACATTTTTCAACATTTCAAGGTCAAGAGTCCAAAAATGTAAAAATCTTGGGTGGGTCATTTTTTGACCAATTGCAATACTTTCTCCTCTTTTATATATAACAGAGCCCTGGAAAGTGAAAAGGAGACACAGGAAGCATATTACAAAGCAGCAACAAAAGGAGAATTGTGCAGATATAAAGGAACATAACAAAGAAAAACAATAGGGAAAGGGAAATGCAGCCTGCAATTTAATAGTGTACAAAATATGATGATGCTGTAAGGGAAAAAAGCAGATAAAGGAAAGTTATTAACATCAAAGATGTTGAAACTTTGTTGCCAGCATGGAATTGAAAGTGGATTGTCCAGAAGAAAATGTGACAATGCAGTGAAATTCAAAAATTCTCTTGAATATTTTTGAGAAACAAACTTCTTACATGACAAACAGAATCACTAAAATTTAAGAGCTGTAGAGTTCCAATAATTCTTTCCAGCAGGTCAATGTTTAAAAATTAGAATGATAAACTTTGAAGATAGGTGCTTTCAGACAATTTTTTATCTAATTTTGAAAGAAATATGAAATTAAGGTGACTCCAGTCAAGCAGGTAGAATCNCTATGTTACTTCAAACATTACATTGAAATATTTGCTAATAAAATTATTTTTGGTTAGAATTGACATAATTTCATGGAAGAAATTAAATTAATTAATTTTGACAGGTCAGTTTATTTCTAATAATTGCAACTGTTCTTATTCTAATAGTCATTTATTGTTTTCCACTTTTTCTTACAATTTAGAAATGTTCAAGAAATAAATCAATTTTATATCAAATTTCAAAATTAAAAATTGAAATGTTTAAAAATTTTCTTCTTACATCAATACAATTGTAAATACAAGGGGTACTGTAAATATACAGTAAACCTTGATAACAGTACAGTCAACTGATTTAATTTCTTATAATTTTAGCTGTATCAGGTAATCTCTAATGTAGATATACCAAAACTTTTTCAAATTGTTTTATTTTTATCTTTCTGCAATTCAGAAAATATCACATGATATGCATGTATTGGGTTGAACCAAAAGTTTGTTCGGGTATGTACATAATTGCTCATCTGTGGCACCTCTGTTGTGCTTATCAAGTTTTAACCTGTTCAGGTTGACATTACGAATATCTGCATATTTATTATGTAAGTTTAATTACAGCTATTTTTTAAAATTTTGTTAACTTTTAAGAAAAAAAAACATTAAAATGGAAGATAAGAAGGTGCATTTTCGACATCTACTGCTCTATTATTTCTGAAAATAAAAAAGTGCAACAAAAACTCAAAAAAAAAATATGTGCTGTATATGGGAAGAATGCAGTTACTGATTGAACATGCCAGAAATGGTTTTCAAAATTCAGGGAGGGAGATTTTTCTCTCGAAGATGCACCTCGGTCAGGACGACCTTCAACCATAGAAGATGAGTCCATAATGGCTTTAATTCAAAACGATTGGCATAAAACAACACGAGAGATAGCCGACATCTTAAAAATATCCCAAACATCTGTTGTCAGACATTTGGCTAGCCTTGGATACACTTCCCATTATGATGTTTGGGTTCCCCATAAGTTAAGTGAATGAAACCTTATTGAGTGTGTTTCTGTATGTGATTCACTCTTAAAACGCAATGAAGATGATCCCTTTTTAAAGCGATTAATAGCAGGTGATGAAAAATTTACAACAATATTCAACGCAAGAGATCTTGAAGTAAGCCAGGTGATCCTCCAGTGCCACAACCTAAGAGCCGCCGCAAACTAGCACTTTGCGAGAGCAAAACGCTAGCAAACATGCGCTAGCACAACCGATGATGTCGAAGGCTCCGCCCCTTTCTTCTTGCCCGCGTGGTTTTTCCTTCGCTAGCGCAACGATGCGAGAGTACGCTCGCTGTTCACAGAATTCAACAACTAGAGCATTTACGCTAGCAACAGAGAGCGGGAAAGATGGATGACTACATAAACATGTCACATATCGAAAAAGAAATAATAGAATTTTATCGATGTACGTAAATTACATGATTAATACATTTAGTATTGAAAAGAAAATAGTATAACCGTTGTATGTAAATAGTAATATACAGTATAAATAGTTTTTGGCTAGTTAAGCCTAGTAAGGCTTAACTAGTAAACATGTTTTTTCCATGCTGTTTCAAAGTTCGAAACGAAAACTGACTGATTACAAGTGTAGGTTATAATAAAATCTTGTTCTATAGCCAATCTACATCTGTGGAATCCACAGAATCCACGTCATGTGGACTACGTTACGCGAGCAAACGTTGTGTAGTTTGCGGCTGCTTCGTGCCCGCGTAGCTTACCTAGAAAAATGGCTCATAGCATCATGGGAAAAAAGGCGGGGCTTAAGAGCGCGAGTGAGCGTACGCTAGCTCCCACATCCTGTAGTTTGCGGCAGCTCTAAAGCTGGTTTGCATCCCAGAAAAGTAATGGTTTCAGTTTGGTGGGACTGGAAAGGGGTTCTTTATTACGAGCTTTACCCAACAACCAAACAATTAATTCCAATAAATATTGTCTCCAACTGGATGAACTATAGGCTGCAGTGCATCAAAAATGTCCAGAACTTGCAAATTGGGAATGGTATTCCATCATGATAATGCAAGACAGCACATATCGTTAAACATGCACCAAAAACTTCTAGACTAACTGGGATGTTTTGAGTCATCCTGCATATTCTCCAGATATTGCTCCCTCAGACTATCATCTTTTTCATTCAATGCAGAATAATTTAAATGGCATAGAATTTCAATCTCTAGAAGGTATCAAAAATCACATTGATAATTTCTTCAATCAGAAACCCACCCAATTCTACACAGACAGAATTATGAAACTACCCGTCAGGTGGCATAAGGTTATTGAACAGAAGGGTAAATACATTATGGATTAAACGTTTTTATTTATTTCAAAATAGTATATTTTATTTCTTTCTAAAAACTGAATGAACTTTCAACCAATA